CCCATATGGTCCCCCAGCACCGCCAGGAATGATTCCCGAGCATCACTGTGTATGGCCCAAAAAAACAAAGAGGGAGGGAGAGAGAGAAAGAGAGAGAGAGAGAGAGAGAGAGAGAGAGAGAGAGAGAGAGAGGAGAAAAAAAAGAGGGTCAGGGGACTAACGGCCTCTTAGAATGACCCAGAATCTCCTTAACATTTAATGTTTATTGCTTTGACTCTAATCAATATTTTTAAGTGGTAATAATTGTTTAACCTGCCCACACGGCAGTGTCTGGCAAACTCCCCGTGGCGTACCCAATATGCCAAATACCAGTAACAATGATGGGTCTCATTCTCCTAACCCTGAAAGAGCCTTGAATATGGCACTTTTTAAAATCTCAGGGCTAGGACGAAGGAGACGTTACTGGGGCCTGCTCAAGGCAATCGACGAAAAACAGGATGATCGTGATCGTGATCATGATCGTGCTTTGACTCAAGAATCAGATATGAAGGGCTGGAGCACTAACACAGCGGGTAGGGCCTTTGCCTTGCACACGGCCGATCCAGGTTTGATTCCCAGCATCCCATATGGTCCCCCAAGCACTTCCAGGAGTAATTTCTGAGGGCAGAGCCAGGATTACCCCTTGTGCATCGCTGGGTGTGACCCAAAAAGCAAAAAAAAAAAAGAGAGAGAACAACATTCTTTAATAATATGCTTAATTTATCTTACACGGGCTAAACGTTTGACATATCGGAAAGCCTCAGTGTATATAAAGGCAGCGCTGGAGACATTTGTTGAGGGTTTGTCTAAAGGGATTATTTGAAGAGTGGGGCCGTCACCAGATCCTTGTCTAAGCGGCTTTCCACATTCACATCCGATTTTCTGCCCGTTCTGCACTTTTTCTCATGCTATCTTACCCCTTTGTCCCCAACAGTACCAGGGTTAAGATACCGGCATTGCACACAGCTGGCCAACTTGGGTTCAATCCCCCCAGGACCCCTTATGGTCCCCTGAGCACTGCCAGGATTGATCCCTGAGCACAGAGTCAGAAATAAGCCCTGAGCAGGGCTGGGTGCGATCCAAATTCAAACCATAATATAATGATCAAGGTCACGGTCCTCCCATTGTTTGTCAATTTGCTCAAGCGGGCCCAGTAACGTCTCCATTGTGAGACTTTGTTGTTACTGTGTTTGGCATATCGAATATGTCACGGGGAGCTTGCCAGGCTCTGCCGTGCGGGCGAGATACTCTCGGTAGCTTGCCGGGCTCCCCGAGAGGGGCGGAGGAATCAAACTCGGGTCGACCATGCTGGCCGCTTGTAAGGCAAACACCCTACCGCTGTGCTATCGCTCCAGTAAGCATAGCACAACAGGTAGGGCGCTTGCCTTGCACGCGGCTGACCCAGGTTCGATTCTCAGCATCCCACATGGTCCCCCAAGCACCACCAGGAGTAATTCCTGAGTACAGAGCCAGGAGTAACCCCTGAGCACCACTGGGTGTGACCCAAAAAGAAAAAAAAAAGAGAATGCCAGGGACTGTGAAAGTGCCGTTTGCCTATAAATATTTACTTATCATTTAATATTTAAGAATTAAAACCTGGGGCTGGAGCAATAGCACAGCGGGTAGGGCGTTTGCCTTGCACGCGGCCGATCCGGGTTCAATTCCCAGCATCCCATATGGTACCCTGAGCACCGCCAGGAGTAATTCCTGAGTATACAGAGCCAGGAGGAACCCCTGTGCAAAAGCCAGGTGTGACTCAAAAGCCAAAAAAAAAAAAAATTAAAACCTGGCTCGAGGATGTGTGGCAGGGATGGTGTCTGCGGGTCACAGCTGCGTGCCTAGCATTTAGGAAACCTGGTTTCAATCCCCTGCAATGCAAAAATAAATAAATAAATAAACCACCATTTTTAATTACAATTTTAGAAGGTAAAATCCTCACCACTGGAAATAACTGCCCCCCCTTCAGGGGGTGGGGGGCTGAGCTCCCCAAAACAAGTCTGACAAAAAAAATTGTTATTTCATTCATTTTATGCTTATTCCAAGTAACTGTTTTCCTACATTCCCAACAAACTTTGCATTAGGTTCAGATATGAGTGAAATACCCGGGAACAGTTTTCACCTGTCTATTCTTCAGCCTGTTTATCCCTGGGAAGCCGAAGCAATAGCACAGCGTTTAGCGGCGGGAGAATCGCTAGGAGGAGCGCACCCCCCGGTGGCTGTAGGCTGACATGCAGCCAGATGCAGCCGTCCCAGAAAGGGTTCCAAAGACATTTCTTCCCTGATCTGTGTCAAAGACACTTCTTCCCTGATATGCCTCTGTCTCTAAGTGCAGAGAGAGGTTCTGCACACGTAAGAAAAGAAAATGTTGGAAAAAAACCTATAACGGGGTCTTTTTTTAACAATTTTTTTAAGTTTTTATTTTAGCTTTCTGGGGTCACACCCGGTGATGCTCAGGAGTTAGTGCTTCTGGCTCTGCACTCGGGAATTACTCCTAGCGGTGCTCAAAGGACCATATGTGATGCCGGAGACCGAACCCAGGTTGCCCGCGTGTAAGGTAAATGCCCTACCCGCTGTTCTATCGCTCCGGCCCTTTTTAGTAGGGTCTTAATTGCATTATGTCTAACTGGGAGAATTGCATCTTTCAAACGTCTAAATCTTTTTTTTTTTTTTTTTTGGCTTTTTGGGTCACACACAGCGATGCTCAGGGGTTACTCCTGGCTATGCACTTAGGAATTCTTACTCCTGGTGGTTCTTGGGGGACCCTATGAGATGCCGGGGATCAGACCCCGGTCAGTTGCATGCAAGGCAAACGCCCTCCCTGCTGTACTAACACTCTGGCCCCTGAATCCTTTTTTTTATTGATTTGAGGTTCTGTGACTTACAAAACTATTGATAATCATGTACACATAATTCCAACATCACATCCATCACCACTGTACCCACCTCCCTCCCTCAAGGCCCCAGTGTCCCTCTCCTTTATAATCCCAACCCCCTCACCCCCAAACTCACACGGTATGGGTCACTTTTCTGATTGTGTTCCCCTTGGCCCTTTGTCGCTCCCTCGCTGTGTGTATCTCTAAGACCCACAGAAGAGAGTGACGATTCCGTAGCTGTCCCTGTCTTTCTGACTCCACTCACCATGATACCTCTAGTTCCATCTGTGTTGTGGTAAATTGCATGGCTTTGTTCTTTCATAGAGCTGTGTAGTATTCCACTGTGTAGACATACCACAACTTCTTTTTTATCCCTCTACCCCGTCCCTCGTACCACGTACTTCTTGATCCATTTATCCATTCACTCACTGACTACAATGAACATAGGTGTGCTTTGTGTGTGTGTGTGTTTATGTGTGTGTGTGTGTATCTCCTTTTGAATTCACTTACATCCTTTCAAATTATTTTGTACTTTGAGGGTAGATGCCAGTAAGTGCTATCACTGTGTCAAATGGGAGTTTTATTTCTATATTTTGGAGAAACGTCCATATTGCTTTCCGTAGAGGCTGAACCAAATAACATTCCCACCCGTAGTGGCTAAAGGTGCAGCCCCCACTGGCATGAGATGGCACGTTGTCAGTGTTGCTCTGACTGGCTTTCCGCTTATCATAAATGGTGATGAGTGTGTCTTCCTAGTTTGTTTCGAGTCTATGGGGTATGATAGATGAAGGCAATTTGATGCCAATGAAATTAATGGTACCAACAAATAATATAAATGGGGGTGAGAGGCCGAGTTCAGAAGATGCAACCTTGGTTCAACCCCCAACGCCTCTGAGTGCAGCTCCAAAACTTTAATAAAATATTCCCACTACTCCAAAGACTATTATTTAAAATATGTAAGTGGAATCAGTAAGGTATGCAGGTGGGTTTAGAACCACGATCACAGTGTCAACGTCTTAAAAGGCCTGTTTCTTAAAAATTCGAGAATTTTCCAATCCGAGAAAATTGGGCTACACTAGCACGCGGCAGGGACAAATGGAGACGTTACTGGCGCCCGCTCGAGCAAATCGAAGATTAACGGGAAGTTAAGTGATAAGTGATCTTCCAATCCAAGCAGGCTTGGAGATCTACACCCCGGGTCCTGCACACCTGGGTTCCTCTGCCGGTTCCTTCATGCGTGAGGCTCGTCCGAACGTGTGGAGAGTGGTCTTAAGCATGGCTGTGGCTGGAACCAGAGGTCTTCAGCTGCCGGGGCTCTGCTCGGGGTGGTGTGGCACTTTTTAAAATCTCAGGGCTAGGACGAAGGAGACGTTACTGGGGCCTGCTCGAGGCAATCGATGACCAACAGGATGACAGCGATACAGTGATACAGTGATCGCTCTGTCTTATTCACAAAAGTATCTTTATTTCCTCTCTGCTCTCATTTTGATAGGATTTTTTTAATTTGTTGTTGATATTTGTACTTTAAAGTCTCTTTATGCATGAACTATCTTTATAGTACTTTAGTATATTAAATATCTTTCATAGTCACCCTTGGGGAAAAAAAAATTCGGGAATTTTCAAAAACTATCTTTCCGTACCTACTGGTCCAGTTCTACTGGATTATAGATACTGAAAGCCCAGGGAGCTAACACAGAGGGCGAAAGCACACACCTTACATGTTGGGGCCCCGCGCCCAAGCCCAGCTCCTGTGGGGCTCCTCAGTACCCCGCACAAGTGCTGGGAGCCCCCAGCACTGCAGGGATGGCTCTGGTGACCCTCTGTACCACGGAGAGGCCCAGGCCCCTCAGCCCTGCTTGAGCTGCCTCCTTACAATGACTCTGGGGGGCTTGGGGATAGGTTGCCCAGGAGGCCCAGGGACCCCAATGCTCAATTCTTGGCCAAACACTGGGCAGTGCAATGGGGAGCAGGGGGGTGTTCCTGCGGCCTGGGCAGACCTGGCGGTTCTGGGGGTCTCCAGTGCAGCACCCACCAAGGCTCAGGGGACACACGATGCCCGGAATGGGCCGCAGGCCCCACGGACCATCTCCCAGGCCTCCCCTGGCCCCACCCCCAAATTAAAATAAGATTGAAAAACCAGACCACAGACACCTTTTCCCTTATTTTTTAATACCATTATTGCACCATTACAGCATACTCTTTATATACATATATCTTAAACTTCATTTTCAGCTCTTCAGCGATTCAAATACATAATATATTATCATCTCGAGAATACAAAGAACACAACAGGGGAGGAAGATTGAGAAAAATAGGTTCCCCGTCGTCAGTCAGTCCGTCCGTCAGTCCCGAGCCAGTCTGCGGACTGGGCTCTTAGTGTTTGCGACTGGAATTCTGCGAAGAAGAAGCCCTGCCCCTGCACTCCCGGGAGAGCGCCTAGGGCCGCCGGGGAGCGGGGAGGCGGTGAACATAAATGGACCCCAAGTCACAAGAGTCGAGAAAGAATTCCAGGAGAGGGAATAGACTCAGAAATGACGAGCCTCCCCACGCATGCGGGCCTCCGTCAGCACCCACCCACACCGGGTCCCTTGGTCTGGTCCTCAGAACAACTGGTGCCTGCCCGCCTAAGGGAGGGAACGCTCAGCTGAGGGAGCACTCGCCTGAGGGAGGGAGCACTCGCCTGAAGGAGCACTCACCTGAGGGAGGGAACGCTCAGCTGGGGGAGGGAGCACTCGCCTGAGGGAGCACTCGCCTGAGGGAGGGAATGCTCAACTGGGGGAGGGAGCACTCACCTGAGGAAAACGCTCAGCTGAGGGAGGGAGCACTCTCCTGAGGGAGGGAGCACTCAGCTGGGGGAGTTAACTGCTTCACAGGCTTCACAGCATCTGACAGGAATTGGAGCGTGAGGGGGCGGGCAGGGGAGGGCGACTCACGCTGGCGTGGGGTACAGGAGGCTGGGCTTCTCCCCACTGGCGTTAGAAACGCCTGGGGGGGGGGGCTGGTCAGGTGAAAGGTGAAAGAGCCCCCCCGGGGGTGGAGGGCACACGACTCCAACTGCACGGACCAGCCTCTCAGTCCCTTCAACCTCTCGGGCCTGCGGCGAAGGTCGAAGCCTCAAAACCCCGCAATTGGGGGGGGGGGGGAGCGGGGGCGGCAAAAAACGGGGCAAGCAGCGCCCCGCTAGGCCTCGCCCACGTGGAGGGGCGAGGAAAGTAAACATCTCTCTAGGGCGAGGCTCGGAAGCCCCCCTCAGCCACTCCTCAACGCCTCAGAAACGCCCGCAGCACAGGGGGCAAAGGAAGAGACAGCAGTGGAACAGGGGTGCAGCCTGCGGGAGGGGTGCCAGCCGCGCCGGGGAAGGCACCCTGCTTCACCCTGCTTCACACCCGGTACCCCCCGGGGCCACTCTTAAATGTCCCTAACGGTCAGGGGGAAACGAAGACTCGAGGGGTCCGTCTGCCCCCGGAAACTGCTGAGGGTCGCGTCCCTGGGGGGCTCACACAGGTGGGGGGAGGATTCTGAAAATGAGTCAGGGGGTCTGAATAAGGGGGGGAGATGTCCCCCCCGGAAGTGCCAGGGGGCCCTGGAGTCCTGCAGTCGCCCGACACTCACAGCAGAAGCCCCGCTCTTCCCTGCCTCGGTCAGGAACAGGACACGCGATTGTTTAGTGTTTTCTTGGCTGCACGGCAAGGGAAGGACAAAGGACGCCAAGGCGCGGGGCTGCGATGGAGAAGCTGTGTGCGATTGTCCGGAGAGCGGGGTTCGGGGGGAGGGGGGCCCGGCTTCCCTCACGGATCGGTGCCCTCAAGGTCTTCTTGTTGGGTTCTCCCAGTCCATCCGCAACGATGTCTCGCAACGCTGATCAGAACTGGACCCAGTTGGACGGCTGAGGGGCCTGGTTCGGAACCGAGCTGCGAGGCGGGAAGGGGAGAGAGAGCCCAGGACACCCCGTGACACCCCGTCAGGCACCTGAGGAGCTGCTCCCAGCTCCAGGCAGGACCCAGCCAGGCCTGCAGGGTCAGCGGGGCGCAGGGCCCCCGCTCAGCCCCGCTTGGTGACTAGGTCTACCGGTGTCACAGTCCATCAAGCATAGCCAGCAAGAAGAGGTAGCCCGGCGGGGCTGGAGCCCCGGGACAGCAGGGCACGTCCTCGAGTGGAGGTGGCCCAGGGCCTCACCCCTAGCGCCAGCAAACAAACGGGTCCCGTCTCAGAATTTCCGCTGCTGGACTTCACAGCAATTCTGACCATGATCTGAAACGTTCACCCGCCATCTCTGTCACTCCACCACTCCCCATGCGGGACACTTCCTGACCTTGCCAAGACTGCACCCGGTTTATTTTGTTTTGTTTTGTTTTGTTTTGCCTTTCGGGTCACACCCAGCGATGCTCAGGGGTTCCTCCTGGCTCTGCGCTCAGGAATTACTCCTGGTGGTGCTCAGGGGACCCTATGGGATGCTGGGGATCGAACCCGAGCCGGCCGCGTGCAAGGCAAACGCCCTCCCCGCTGTCCTATCACTCTGGCCCTTGCACCGGGGCCTCTCACACCAACTTTCCCATCCAACCCCCTTCCACCTAAGGTTCGTAGAATATAGCAATTATATAGAGACTGATCATTCTCTTAAAAACAATTTAAAAAAAAAAATTTTTTGGCCCTCCCACTGGGAAGCGAGGGACTCCGTCCCCTGCCAACGCCCCGCCTTCTCGGCTGAGATGTCCCCGGCCGAGGGAGGGCAGCGTACCTGGATGCAGTGCTGAAGTCCCCCCACAAGTCGTTGCTTGCAGAGACCGGGGCTGGGGCTGGCGCTGGCGTGGTGACAGGAGCCGGGGAATCCAAATCTAACAGGATGTCTGAGGGAAAGGCAGGAGAACAACGCGGGGAGCCAGGATGAGAAGACATGAGAAGCCTCACGGGGAAACCGCAAATGCTCACACGGAAACCCCGCACCCCAGTGCTCCCGGCAGACTCGCAGGGTCCCCGGACTGCAAATGAGCCCAATGCCCGTCCTCAGGGCCTGCTCGAGCATGAAATGCTCTTCAACGCCACACAGGGACAGCAGGGAAGAGGGGGGACGGGATGACAGCCAAAGGTCACTGACTCAAGCCAGCCACTTATTCCAGAAGTGACAATTTCAAAGGGATGGAGATGCGACTGGTGACTGCCGGGGTGGCACCGGGAAACGGGAGGGTGGTTAGGAGAGAAAACAAACACGGGCACCCTGTAACAGCAGCGCTGCTACGGGCCCTTGCCCTGGTGCTGGACCCACGGACCCACACAGTCAGATCTACACAGCTAGCGAGAACTGAACGCAGAGACACAGACACACACAGACACGGAAACTATGAGACACTGGGTGAATCTGAGATCAGTCACAATCACAATCACAACCATCCTGTTATTCGTCGATTGCCTCAAGCAGGCCCCAGTAACGTCTCTTCGTCCTAGCCCTGAGATTTTTTTTTCAGTAGATGGCTTCAATGCCCATTTCCTGGTTGTGGAACTCAGCCATATGTTTGCAACACTCACCACTGACTAAAACGGGGTCAAGGGCACCAGAGATTTCTTTGGGTTATTTTTTGCTTAACAACTGCACTTGAATCTACAAACTCAAAATTAAAGGTTGAATTCTTTGGGGGAGGTGTGGAAGCAGGAGGCCAAGACCTGGCATTGCTCAGGGCTTATTCCTGGTTCTGCACTCAGGAAATCACTCCTAGCGGTGCTTGGGGGACCATGTGGGATGCCAGGGATTGAACCCCAGCTGGCTGCGTGCAACGCAAGTACCCTATCCACTGGACTATCTCTCCGGCTTGCTTTAATTTTTTTTTTAGAATAGAAAATAAACCTGTCGAAGACACTATCCCCAGTGACTTTCACCATTTCTGACCTCAGAAATTCCTGGAGACAGGGCTGGGGAGATAGAACGGCAGGTAGGTTCGATCCCTGGCAACCCACATAGTCCCCTGAGCACCACCAGGAGTAATTCCTGACTACCTCTTCTCTTTTCCAGCCAGGTCGTTGTGGGGGGGGGGGAAAGTCTTCAGAACCATAAATGTCGCCTCAGTTCCACCCTTTGTGAAGATATGGTGGGAACTAGGAGAACGGGGTCAAAGAGATGACACAAAGGTCCAGGCGCTCAGATCTCTTTGGGTCCCATACCCAGCCAATTTCACCGGGACACCCCAGATGGAGCAGGTGCAGCCTCTCCGCCTACTCCAGATGGAATCCCAGCGACCAAGAGCTTCCACAAGCAAGGCCCAGGTATGCGGGTTTCAGGACTGAATCTCCAGGCCACATGGTGGCAGAGGACCCGGGCTATCCCTCCCCGGGTCCCCACCTGCCCAGCAGACTGGCTGCCGTGCCCACAATTTGACTCCGGGCGCCATCTTAGCGCACCAACAGCCCTAGCCCAGAGACTCCCAACTGAATCCCAAAATGGATTAGTGACCTACAGAGAAGTACCCAACCATTTACAATCTAGAATTTTACATTTACAATCGCGGCCGTGCAAACTCTCATGATATTCCAAATGAACAATGGAAAATAAATTATCTAGCATCTGGCCCTGGCAGGTAGGCTTGAATGGTGGCGGTAAATTTTTAATGCCCAAAATTTGAGAAAGAGGGTATTGGGGAAATTGTCTGCCATAGAGGCAGGGTAAGAACTGGGATGGGGCGGGGGGGCGGGGGGGGGACGGCACACAGAGGAGATACTGGGGACATTGGTGGTGGAGAATGTGCCCTGGTGAAGGGATGGGTGTTCCATCATTGTATGGCTCAATCTCAAACACGAAAGCTTTGTAGCTCTATCTCACAGTGATACAATTAAAAAGAAAAGTAATGTGGAGTTCATGCCCAATTCAATCAGCTTAATCAATGGGTGAACAAACAGTAATACTCCTATATTATTTAAAAAAAAAAAAAAAAAAGGTCCAGGCACTCATCTGGTGCACAGCGATCCCCACACTGCACATGGTCCCCCACACGCCAGGAGTGACCCCTAAGCACCGCCAGATGTGGCCCCGGCAGTAATGGCCCTGACACTCCAGGTTCGTGTCCGTGACGTTCCCAAGGCGGAGGTCACGCGACACCCCCACCCGCAGACACGGGTACTGAGACTCAAAGGAACTTCGGAAACGCCCCGATGCACATGCAGACATCGGCTGAATCCTGGACCGGCCGGCTCTTGGCTCTAGGAGAGCGAAGACGACGCGCAGGGGAGCAAGTGGCCTTCTGACCGCTGACCTGCACTCTGCCCACCAGCCCCTTCCGCTCTCGGCCCCCGGGCTGGAGGCCACGAGGACCCAGAACCCTCAACCCTGCTGGCCAAGAGGGGCTGCCCGCCGAGGACACACAGTCCCTCCAGGAGAAACCCAGACAACGTACCCGCATCGTTCCCTCCGTGGTTGGATTTCGGAATGGGCGGTGGAGTCACGTGGTTGCTGATGGGGACGGACGTGGTCGGCGGGGGGATAGTGACTTTGCCTCCAGGTGGGGGTGGCAGCAAGCTCAGGCCCCCAGTGCCTGTGGTCTTGGGCTTCGAAGCACCTCCTTTCTTGGTTGTAATGTTCTAATAAAAAAGAAGAAGAGGGGCTGGAGCGATAGCACAGCGGGGAGGGCATTTGCCTTGCACATGGCCGACTCAGGTTCGATTCCCAGCATCCCATAGGGTCCCCCCGAGCACTGCCAGGAGGAATTCCTGAGTGCTGAGCCAGGAGTAACCCCTGAGCATTGCCGGGTGTGACCCAAAAAGCAAAAAAAAGAAGAAAAAAGGAGGGAGGAGGAGGAAGGAAGGAAGAGGAAGGATGGAAGAGGGAGGAAGGAGGAGGAGGAGGAGGAGGCGCCCCCCACGGGGATTGATTCCTGACACCCTGTTCTTTTTCCAACCAGGTCGTTAGAAAGTAAAGTAAAGTAAAGGCCCTCCCGTCGATCATCGATTTGCTCGAGCGGGCCCAGTAACGTCTCCATTGGAGACTTTGTTGTTACTGTGTCTGGCATATCGAATACTCTCAGTAGCTTGCCGGGCTCTCCGAGAGGGGCGGAGGAATCGAACTCGGGTCGGCCGTGTTGGCTGCGTGCAAGGCAAACGCCCTACCGCTGTGCTATCACTCCAGGGGGAAAAAAGTCTTCAGAGCCATAAAATGTCGCGTCGGTTTCTCCCAACTTGCCTTTGGGAAGATATGGAAAGAACCAAGGAAAAAGGGGTCGTCAGACTCACCCCAATGCTCAGCTTGATGGTCTGCCCTTCCTTGAAGCCCAGGTCCAGCTTGGGACGGCTGTCCATGTCCTGGGACTCTTTGGAAATCTCGGATTCCTGCTTTACCCACCTGGGGGGAGAGCGCGCGGTCTCTGAGTCTCGGGGTCCCTGACAGCGGAGTCTGACGCAAGCGTTTGGGAGTGATGGACAGACAGAGCCCCGAAAGCAGAGAGAAGACCCGGGGTGGGTGGGGAGAGGAAGCCCAGGGAGGGCCCCGGCAGACCAGGCCCATCTCTCCCGAGCACATCCCCTCGCCATCCCTCGGGGCCAGCAGCCTGCCCCGCGCCAAGGGGCCCGCGACGGTCACAGAGAGACCGGGAGGTCTGTCCTGGGAGGAGGACACTGACCACGCGTGGCACAGCCCAGGACAGAAAGGGCAAACACAGGCGGGCAAAAGGCACACAACGGGTCGGCCGGGTCAAGGAACCAAGCTGGCCTGGGCTCCCCACAGGCACCCAACCCTGGAATAGCGCCTGCTGCCCTCAGACCTCCTCGGGTGGGGCAGAGTCCCCGGAGGCATCAACCAAAGCAACAGCTGGCACGGCTCCAGGCAAGGGCGGAACAGAGATTAAAGAGGTTAAGGCGCTCACTCCCCAAATCCCCCAGGTGGCACCCGCTGAGCCGAGACACCGCAGGGCCCAGAGCCCTGAGCCGCGACACTCACTTGAAATGATCTTGCAAGGAGACATTGAAGTCGAAGGCGTCACCGCGGTCTGTGAAGCCAATGCCGATGAAGGCACTGCGCCCTGGGGGGAGAGGGAGAGGGGGAGAGGAACCCTCAAACGAGCAGCCCCAGAAGGGGATCCCACCCAGATTGGGATGGGAACACCAAGGGTTTCCTCACAGGGGATCTCACGCTCTGTACGGGTCCCGGGCCCCAGTCTGTCTGGGCTTGGTCGGGTGACCTCTGGCCACGCTGAAGGCTGAGTAACTGCCACTGGGCCCACCTGGCCCAGGCAGACCCCCACCGTCCACTGTCTTTCTCCTCATGGGAGGAGTCTGTGCCCCACGTGGGCAAGATACGGGGCCCTGCCTCCAGTCACTGCCCTTGAGTGGACAGCGGCCGACCGATGACTACCAGACTTGAATTTGTGTTGGGATAACGCTAATCCTCCTCCCTGAGTGAGGACGCTCAGCTCAGACAGTCAGCTCAGACAGTCAGAACGGGGTGGGGGAAAATGAGCCAACAGCTGAGATGGCGGCAACAGGGACACATTTTCCCTCAAGTCCCGGCCCCCTTACCAGTGCCATCCTGGATCCGGATCACAAAGTAGCGGCTGGAGTCCGTCACTGTCTCCACAGCAATCCCTGGGTACTGTTCCACAGGTGCCTGAGCAAAGAGCTCCCCTGAGGGATGGGGGAGGAGGGGAGAGGGGAAGGGGGGGGAGGGGAGAGAGAATGAAAGAGAGAAAAGAGGGAGAGAGGAATGAGAGAGGAGAATGAGAGAATGAGAGAGGAGAGAGAGAGAGAGAGAGAGAGAGAGAGAGAGAGAGAGAGAGAGAGAGATCTTTAAGCAGAGAAAGCAAAAGTCCAAAACTCTCATTTACAAGGCCTGAGAGACATTACAGGGGTCAAGGTGCTTTCCTCGCTTACAGCCGAAAACTGGTTGAAATCCCAAACACCACAGAGGGTTGCCCCAGCGCAGCCAGGGGTCCCTCCAGGACAACCAAAGCTCTAAGTACCTCCATTCCAGCGCATGCCCGAGGGTTTTGACCAGGCTCCCCGGACCAGCGGGCTTTGCGGGCAGGGGTCCCAGTCCAGATTACCTGAAACTTTATCCTCCAGTTTGATGTAAGCGATCTTCCCTTTCGAAGTGATGCGGAGGCGGCCGGTCCAATCAGGCTGGTCTAGCTTCCAGTCAGACGCCCTGGGAGAGGAGAAGGGCGGCCTCAGGGCTCAGGGCTACAAAATGCTGAGTTCCCTGGCATTTTTCTTCCTATCAAGTAATCAACAAGAATTCTGGACCCCCGCCTTACCTATGACGTGGCAAGTAACCATAAAAACAGGTACAAAAATCAAAGCAATTTTTAATTATTTTACATTAAAAAGTAAAGTAAAGTAAAGGCCCTCCCGTTGTTCATCGATTTGCTTGAGCGGGCCCAGTAATGTCTCCATTGGAGACTTTGTTGTTACTGTGTCTGGCATATCGAATAAGTCACGGGGAGCTTGCCAGGCTCTGCCATGCGGGCGAGATACTCTCGGTAGCTTGCCGGGACGGAGGGACGAGGGACGGAGGAATCGAACTCGGGTCGGCCATGTTGGCTGCGTGCAAGGCAAACGCCCTACCGCTGTGCTATCGCTCCAGCCCCTTATAGTACTCTTAATACCTGCTCCATCCCTCTGCCATTTTTAAAGTTTCTCAACCACGACACCATTCCCATCCCACTAGTAATTTTACATAGCAGCATCTTCCTGATCAGGTAACAACTGTCACTGTGACTATCCTCCCGTTGTTCATCGATTTGCTCGAGCGGGCCCAGTAACGTCTCCATCATGAGACTTCTTGTTACTGTGTTTGGCATATCGAATACGTCACAGGTAGCTTGCCAGGCTTTGCCGCGCGGGCGAGATACTCTTGGTAGCAACAACAAAGTCAACTAAATCAAACAGAGTGGGGAGCAGACGCCTCCCCAAAGCCCTGCGCTCAGTCTCCTGGGCTGACAGAGTGCAGATTAAGTCATAGACGAAGTTCCAGGCACTATGAATGTAACTGCCAACCAAGACCCCCTGCTCCACCCAGGCTCTCCCAGAAGGTAAGACGTGGAAAGAAGAGGCATGGGAAGAAATAGGGAAAAAGCATAATTTTTCAAAGCCAACAAAGATCCAGAGTAAATAATTCGTGTCTCAGAAGGTGAAAGGTCAGCAGCAGGAAAGGCAGGGTGGGGGGCCACAGGAGGGAGTAGTGGGCTGTGGCGGGGGAGAAAGGGGCCCGGGCCGGCTCCCTTAGGCAGGGTGAAACGGAAGCAAATGCACACAGGAAGTGAGAGCTGGGCTTCGGACGAGCTGGAGGCGAGAAGGCCTAGGGAACGCGGGCAGTGCCAAGGGAGCACGGCAGGAACTGACTGACATCCTAGGATGTCTGCGCGCGAGCAGGACCGAGACTGTGGTTGGAATGAAATAAGAGACGTAAGAGACAGTCAGATCACACCGGCCAGGAAGAAATCCGACTTTTAGTCGGGAGACCGAGAGAAGATATACTGGAGGCTTTGAGCGGAAGTACGACATGCTCCCCATTTTATCCCATTTTATTAAGCTAAAAATAAAATTTCAGCTTAATTTTAAGCTAAAATTGAGGCGATTTTCATTTTAAAAAATTAAGATTTTTATTAAAAATAAAATATTTTTAATAGGAGGTGATTCGGGCCCCTCCTAGCAGCGCGGGGGGCTATTCTTGGCTATGGGCTCACAAGGCACCCCGGGGGGGGGGGGACCGGGGGCAGAGGTCATATACAGTGTCAAAGTTTCCAAGTGGGGTCAGCAGCGCGCAAGGCAAGCACCCTAAACCCTGCGCGCTCTCTGGCCCTCCCTTTCACTTGTGTGGCGATGCAGTGATGCAGGGATGGGCGCCCTCAGCAGGGAGTCAGTAAGAGATGGGCGGGAGAATCGGGGTGGGGGTCGGGGGCAGCAGGGTCTCCGAGCAAGCAGAGGGGAGTCAAAGGCAGAAAAGAAAAGTTGCTGCTTTGGGAAAGTTTGCTGTTTGGAAAGGTTAACAGTGAGGTTATCAAGACAGGAAGGAGTTGACCCAGTGGGGACACAAAGGTGAGAAAGTGAAAACTGAGCTTTGAAGGACCAGTAACCCACCCCCCCCTTCTCTCGCAGCGGGTCCTCCACAATGTCCGCACCGGAACCAGATCCAGAACAGAGTCCTCAAGAGTTCTCTATCTAGGGGCTGGGGCGACAGCACAGCGGGGAGGGCGTTTGCCTTGCACGCGGCCGACCCGGGTTCGATTCCCAGCATCCCATAGGGTCCCCCGAGCACCACCAGTAGTGATTCCTGAATGCATGAGCCAGGAGTAGCCCCTGCGCATCGCCGGGTGTGACCCAAAAAGTAGACACCCCAGCAATAGATATGAAAGCATGAAAATACACATCTCAAGAGGGGAGATGAATGATCTTAATGATAATAAACATTTTAAACCAAAAAAAAAAAAAAGAGTTCTCTGTTCAGTTTTTCTATTGAGCTTTTTTTGGGGGGGGAGGGGCAGTGAGCATGATGAATAAGTAAAATTTTTATAGGTGGAGCACCATTTTCTAACATTCCCAATTTCCCATCACTACTTTCTGGTGACTTTTCTGGGAATATCAGCTCAGGGCTTACTCCTGACTCTGCACTCAGGAATTATTCCTGGCAGTGCTCGGGGGACCAGATGGGATGCCAGGGGTGGGTCAGCCACATCCAAGGCAAATGCCCTCCCCTCTGTACTATCGCTCCAGCCCTCCTACTGAGTTCTTACCCTACCACCCCATCAAGCATTAAGAGTCTATGCAGTTACTGAAAACGAGGACGTGCAGCCCACTGCAGACCCGTCTTCTCCATCTTGGGTCCAACAACATCTCAGTGAGTGTCTGGACCCCTGGCAGGTTCCCTCAGTTCCTCCCAAGCCGGAGCATCTCAAGGGGGGGTGGCCCCTCAATTTCTGACAACCCACCCAACTGACCTCGCACATTTTCAATGATCTCACCCAGACATCCTTCCAGCATGAAAAGCCCAGTGTCTCCCTCTCGTTCTGAATGAGGGAGAGGAGAAGGGCACGGCAAGCCATGATGACTAACTCCGAGCCTCTGCATTTTTTATGACATAAGACACACTATTGATTTAGCCAGGGATGAAGAGCGTGACGAGGAAGTAAACGCTTTAGAGGTTGGAGCACCATTTTCTATCACTGCCAATTTCCCATCGGCCTTGATTTTCCTTGCATGAATCTGGCCAGTGTACGCCTGCCAAGCAACCATCACACTAAGCCAGTGTTTCCCAAGGCGGGTGACGCTGCCTGGCTTGGGGGCCATAGAAAGCGGGCAGTGGCCTCGGGTGCTCCTCGGGCGGCTTCCTGTCTATCCCCCTAAAGACGGTGGACTCCCAGGGGCATGCTGAGTAAGTTTGTCTCTGAAAAAGGAGGTGGCAGGAACCGCAGCACTAGGTGAATCAGTTATTATAGCTTCTAATCTTACTAGTTATCCAAAGAAAGTTTTCCTGCTTAAAAAAGAAAAAAAAAGTCTTTACCTGTAATAGTAGCTTGAGCAAACAATATACTCATCATGTAAAATGGATTCTAGTATACAAACAACAGAAAAGTAATAGTTATCAACTATCTTCTTATACACCACGGTTTTGGGATTTTTTGGTTGAGGTTTGGGGGACTTGGTTTGGGGGGTTTATTTTGGGGGGGGGTGGAATTTGGGCCACACCCAGAGCTTACTCCTGGCTCTGAGCTCACTCCTGGCAGGGACTCAGGGGACCATATCATGTGATAGGGATCAAACCAGAGTCAGCTTTGTATAAGGCAAACACCCTGTCTTCTCGTACTTTAATAACTCTACCCCATGCCATGGATTGTGTTCATTCCTGTAAAAACTGAAAGGATCTTAAAAGATCAGTGGTATTCTCTCCATTTCTACAGATCAGAAAACTAGAGTCCAGAGTGAAGACATAGGATGTGTGGGGCCGGAGCAATAGTACATCAGGTAGGGCATTTGCCTTGCATGTGGCCGACCCGAGTTCAATCCCCGGCATCCCATATGGTCACGAAAGCACTGCCAGGCGTAATTCCTGAGTGCAGAGCCAGGAGTAACCCCTGAGCATCGCTGGGTGTGAACCCCACCCTCAAAAAAAAAAAAAGACACAGGATGCGGCACATGATCGCATGAGTGAGGCCCTGGATTCCAACCCCAGCACTGATGACCCCCATGACTATGACACCAAACACGACTTGGGGCCAAAGTAATAGTACACAGGGTAAGGCACTTTCCTTGCATACCGCCAGCCCAGATCCGATCCCTAGCACCCCAACTGGTCCCCAGAGACCACCAGGAGTGATTCCTGAATAGAGAGCTAGGAGTAAGCCCTGAGCATGTGGTATGGTATGAGCCAAAAACAAACAAAAGAGTAAAATTGCCAAAGGCAATGAGATTGAAGGGGGCTGAATACTAAATATCGCACAGCAGGGAAGGCACTTGCCTTGCACACAGCCAATCTGGGTTCAACTTCCCAGGCCCCCATACAGTCCCCCTGAGCCCCACCAGGAGTAGGCCCTGAGCACAGGCAAGTGTGTCCCAAAGACAAACCAAAAAGCCACAAGTTAGAATCAAAATTCTGACTTAGCTCTGTTTCTTCACTCACAATATAAGAGAGGCTGATGTTGCAATGCCAGAGAGTAGAATTATGCCAATAATTATGCCAATAAAGGCAAAAAAATCAAGAAACTGCATTGGGGGCTGGAGAGATAGTACAGCAGGTAAGGTGCTTGCCTTACATGCGGCTGACCTGGGCTTGATCCCAGGCAGATGGTTCCATATGGTTCCCAAGCACTGCCAGGAGTGATCCCTCAGCAGAGCCAGGAGTAACCCCGGAGCACCACCAGGTGCAGCCCAAAACAAAAAAAAAAAAAAAAAAAAAAAAGAAACTACTTTGATGGCTCAGAGTGGATCACTGACCTACAGATAAAGTCTGTGGATAAACTAGGGGGCAGAGGGTGGAATCACAGACTACAGGTGAGTGAGAGAAGTCTTTTCCAAACTCAGAGGAGAAAAAGAAGACTGTATGGATATGCCTATCAGATCCTTGAGGGAGCCTAAACTCCAGTTAGAAACCTGGAGCTTTTTTACTTTATTTCAATGGTCCGGCCTATGCAAGGTTACAGGATTTAGTGTCACCTCCTGATTTTCCCCTCAGACAACATTCGAAGACTGTGAGAGTGTAGGGGGGACATTGTGCTAGACCCAGGAAATATAAAGTGTCTCCAATTAGAGGGACTTCAGGGGGCTGGAGCAATAGCACAGCGGGGAGGGTGTTTGCCTTGCATGCAGCCGACCTGGGTTCAATTCCCAGCATGCCACAGGGTCCCCTGAGTAGCGCCAGGAGTGATTCCTGAGTGCAGAGCCAGGAGTAACACCTGTGCAATGCCGGATGCGACCCAAAAAGAAAAAAAAAAAAACAGGACTTCAGACTGCTGCCAGCTTATAGAAGCAGGGACCCAGACAGATGCAATACAGAACTGAGTGCACTGTGGTCGGATCGAAGGGTAGAATGCAGGGCACAGGGCGTGGTGACGGCTCAGGTGAGTCACCCACAGCCCCTGCAACCATTTAAAACGCACGTCGTCGGGTCCTGGGGTGGCTGATCTGGATGGAAGTCTGAAAGTGAGAACTTTCGCCTTTCCAAAAACACGGTCCTCAGAGTCGAACCCACCAGCTGGCAGGGGCACGGATTTATATAATGTAATGAAGAGCCTTTCAGCCTTGGCAATGACAGACACCCAGAGGAAAATCGCAAAGGTGATCTGGGGCAGGGAGGGCAGTGAGCAATGGATCCTACTGCCCAGGAGGTCGCTCAAAAGGTTAAGGTCCATGACCTGCAACTTCCTGGCACTGCACAGGTGTTGCCCCAACAATAAAAACCATTAAAGTTTAGAAAGCGAACAGTAAGAACAATACCTTAGATCTCTAGACACTGTGTGTCCTAGAACTATAGCCAGTATCTTATTACTGTATCTGAAATTCTTTCACATTTGTTAGGATGGGGCTGGAGCGATAGCACAGCAGGTATGGCGTTTGCTTTGCACACAGCCGACTAAACTCAGTCGACCCGGGTTCAATTCCTCCACCCCTCTCAGAGAGCCTGGCAAGCTACCGAGAGTATCTCGCCCGCGCGGCAAAGCCTGGCAGGTTCCCTGTGACATATTCGATGCGCCAAACACAGTAACAATAAGTCTCACAACGGTGACGTTACTGGGCCCGCTGGATCAAATCAATGAACAACAGGAGGACAGTGCAGTGCAGTGCTTGTTAGGATGTCACTTAATACGGATCCCCACCTACACACACACACACACACACACACACACACACATCCTGAGAGAGCTGCAACCAGAGGCGATTTTGCTGTCATTAACTTTTTTTCCCTCCTGTTTGCCAGAAAATGGAGATTTGTCCCATAAATCATACAACTACTCAATGGCCAGGGTTCACTCTCCCTTTTTTTTTTTTTTGGTCTTTTTTTTTTCCTTTTTTTGACAGGCAACCCAGCTGGGTCCTACAGGACCACGACCCCAGAGCATCCCTCCTGCATCCCCCCGACCCTCACCATCCCCGCAGTACCAGGTGAGCCCTAGAGCCGCAGAAACGCTGCCGTGGTGAGCTGGGGGTGGGGGGAGAAAGGGGAGCTGGGGGGGGGGGGGGGAGGTCCTCGTGCCCAAAAGGGACCGGGAAGAAACCAGAATGGGCCACTCCCGGGGAAGGGCGCTGGATGCTGCCATCGGAACCGAACCTTGGTCGGGCAGCACCGTGCGGGGGATGGGGATGGGGATGAGGAGGGGGAGGGGAAGGGGGATGGGGGGGCAACGCGGCTGCTGGAAGATGCTCCCTGCAGGCCAGCCCGGCCAGAAGCAGCACACGCAAAGGGAGATGATGAGCTCATGCCCACCGTGGGGCGTGCAGGGAAGGCGGGCGGGGGGCGGCGGGGCGCGCGGCGAGTGACCCACTGAAGGACGCGGGGCAGGCAGGAGGCGAGGGGACGCGCTGCGGGGCACGGGGCGCACGAGGGGCGGCCCCGGGGAGGGTCCCGAGGAGGAGGGCGCGGGATGACAACCCGTCTGCGCGTCTGTGCGCGGCTCGGGGGCCCCCGAACGCGGGCGGCGGGCCGCGCCGGGTGCGGGAGGAGCAGGCGGAGACAGGTGCACGGCCCCCACCGCCCCCCCCCACCCCGGGACGGCGGCGCGGAGGGACCCCGCGAGGCGAGGCGGGGGGCGGCCCGGCGGGGCGGGGGTACCTGTAGCCGCGGTTCGAGGCCCGCGGGGGGATCCGGTAGACGCTCACGTCGGGCTTCACGCACAGCACCGACTCGTACTCCAGCTCCGACGCCATCTTGGCCGAGCGCTCCGGGGGCGGGCGCGGGGGCGGAGACTCCACTTCCGCTTCCGGCCCTTCCCCTCCCGCCCCTCAAGACCCGCCTCGGGTTTCCGGAGATGAACCCGGGGCGGGAAGCCATGTTGAGATCTGGCAAAGGGACGCTCGGCCGCTCCCCATCTTGAGTCCTGGCAGAGCTGGCGCTCCAGGTTGGTGACTCACCGTTCTGGAAATCTCCATCCCGCGAAGGGAGGAGGTGAAGGAGAGAAAGCGCCATGTTCATCAGGGAAGATGAGGACCGTCTTGAAACCTGGCGATTTTTTTTTAAGCCAAGAGTCCCTTCCTTTTTTTATTTTTTTTTTTTTTTTTTGCTTTTTGAGTCACATCCAGCGATGCACAGGGGTTGCTCCTGGCTCTGCACTCAGGAGTTATCCCTGGCAGTGCTCCAAGAGGGACCATATGGGATGCTGGAAATCGAACCCGGGTTGGCCGTGTGCAAGGCAAACACCCTACCCTCTGTACTATCGCCCTAGCCCAAGAGCCCTTTACTTAAATGTAATTTCGAAAAGGGCACATGTCCTTCCAGAATTTCCCACTGAGAATATAAAATATCATAATATGAGACTGGTACCCGAGGACAGTGGAGACAAGGACCAGGAGAATCGCTCCATGGAGCTCTACAATGCTCCATGTGTGTAGGCAGGCAGACAGATAGGGAAGGTCCCTACCCAGACGGTGGCAGTAAGTTTCCTGCAAAGAGCTTTGAAGTTGCAGAAGCCAACCTGGCAGAAAATAGGAACTAAGGCCTGATAAGACCTTTATCTGGCACTAGCAATAGATACTGCAGAGGCTGGACCCTCTCCTCCAACAGAACCTCCGGCAGAAACAAAAGGCAAGAAAAGAGATTTCAAAGAAGACCTTCACCACTCCCAACCCCCTAGGCAACCTCCTTAGCAATGGACTTTTACCTAGGTAGAAGCCCCTGCATGGAGGCAGGTTGGAATAACCCTATAAAGGCCACCTTGAACAAAGGAAGGGCACACATATGCTGCCTGAGCCCATGTGCTGCCTGTGTCCACATGGCCAAGCACATGTGGTGGCCAAGCACATGTGGTGCCCGAGCACATGTGTCACCTGCATCTCCCCTCTTGAGATGTGGACTTTCATGCTTTCCTGTCTAATGCTGGGATATGTGTAGGGACTCTCCACCCTTGCATGAGCGCCGTTCTCTCTTGAGCATGTTATTCTCCTCTCTCTCTCTCTCTCTCTCTCTCTCTCTCTCTCTCTCTCTCTCTCTCTCTCTATCCTGCCCTTCAAAAATCTCCAAATAGAATCTGTTTTACTTCACTGCTTGTCTACTCCTGAAATTCTTTTCTGCAAGGCGACACAAGAACCCAGTAAGCCTGGGTCTCCGAAGACAGAGGCAGATCAGTAGAAAGTGACCGTCTTTCTTCTCCCCACTTCACATGAGCCACCTGTGGGGCCCACTGACATCAGTTGCAAACCTGCCTGATGAGCTGGGGGAGAAGGTAGCCGGAATAGAGAAGGCATCACCAGGTCAAAGATGGTTGGAGGGTTCACTCGGGATGAGAGATGCGTGCTGGAAGTAGATAAAGGACCAAACAGGATGGCCTCTCGGTATCTGTATTGCAAACCATGATGCCCATAAGTAGAGCGAGAGTAAGAGGACAATTGTCTGCCATAGAGGCAGGGGGAGGGGTGGGATGGGGGGGTATATTGGGGACATTGTTGGAGCGATGGTTGTTCAATTAATGACTGAAACTCAAACACAAAAGCTTTGTAACTGTACCTCACGGTGATTCAATTTTTTAAAAAAAAGTTGATCAAAATGTAGCACTGTCTTCCCTTGTTCATTGATTTTCTGGAGAGGGCCCAGTAAAGTCCATTGTGAGACTTGTTACTGTGTTTGGAATCATTTGATCACACTTGACTTCCCATTAATGATTTGCTCGAGCGGACACCAGTAACGTCTCCATTTGTCCCTGTCGCATGCTAGAATAGCCCAATGGCGTCTGTTCATTCTAGGAACACGAAGAGCCTCAAACCGATCGTTCATGGTCTTGATGAAGAAGTCTAACCATCTGGTAGGTGGACGGCCACGCAGTCTTTTGACATCCCGTGGAATCCAGTAGGTAACGGCTCTAGTCCAGCGGTCATCTCTAAATCTCATTACGTGACCAGCCCATCTGATTTTTGACACCTTGGCAAATGAGACAGCGTTCCTGATTCTTGATCGTCGACGGATGTCGGAACTCCGGATTCTTTCTCTCATTTGAGTGAAACGTGATACTCCAAGCATAGCTCTTTCAATTCCTCTTTGGGAGACCAGAATAGCGTTCTCATCCTGTTTATGTAGGGCCCAGGTCTCTGAAGCTTATGTTAATGCAGGAAGAACAGTGGAATCAAAGAGATGTGCCCGAAGCCGGAGGTTCTTCATCCTCTTAGCTATTTCTTCGCTGCTCTTGAAGGCGTTCCAAGCCGCTCTTTTCCTCCTGCGCAGCTTGGGTGCCAGGTCATTTGTCGTGTTTGAAATATTGGATATATAATATATATATATAGGCTCTGACATGTAGGCGGGATACTCTCGGTAGCTTGCTGGGCTCTCTGAGAGGGGGGATGGAACCCAGGTTGGCCAGGTTGGCCACGTGCAAGGCAAACGCCCTACCCGCTGTGCTATCACAAAAGCCCAATCAAAGTGTTAAAAAAAAAAAATCCCCACTAAGTACCTCCAGAAAATAGCGGACCCAGTGGGTGACATGGAAGATTTTAAATCTAAAACCTAAATGTCAAAAATGCTTGCCTGATTCCTTGCCCAACGGCACGTTTTTGTCTCAGATTTTCCAGGAGGGCACCTGTTGAAATAGTGTGCTATGCTTGCGTTGGGTGTGACTGTTATGTTTTTGGAAAATGTGACCCTCTTAGATTCTTGAAGGGGAATCCAGCCAAACTCAGGAAGCATAATGGTGGCCACTGTTGGCTCCTAGTTCTATCATAAAAATAAATTCCCAACTGTCTCATTAAATACATTCCTAAGCATCGTGGATATAAATTTACTGGCAAAAGAAGAAGCACAGTATACACACAAAAGACCCTGCAGGAAGAAACATTCCTAGTGCCGGTGACTCACAGAAGGCCTTCCCATGTGAATGCCCTGTGGGAAAGATTTTTCCTGCCAGCAAGTCAGTGACAAAGGAATTCAAATGCACACAGTGACCTACCTTGGATGCTGTTAATGTGTGTCTCATCCCACAGATCAGACCAGCAGTGATTTTCAAAGTAATTGGAGGCTAATGAGGCTGCCGGTTAGTCTCCTTCTTCATATCCCATAAGATCCACATCTTGGCCTCTTACACTGGATTTTCACCAGGACAGCCTGGTAAATTAGCCCCTACACCAATAAACATTCCCCCCAAATCCACAAAAATAGTGGTTAGCACAAGGAACTAACTAAATAAATAAATAAATTTGCTGTGATACTATCATTTGGCGGACTGGAGCAATGGCACAGCGGGTAGGGTGTTTGCCTTGCATGCGGCTGACCCACGTTCATTCCTTCGTCCCTCTTGGAGAACCCAGCAAGCTACCGTGAGTATCCTGCCCACACGGGAGAGCCTGGCAAGCTTCCCGTGGCGTATTCGATATGCCAAGAAAACAGTAACAACAAGTCTCACAAAGGAGACGTTACTGATGCCCGCTTGAGCAAAGAGAAGAACAACAGGAGGACAGTGCTACAGTGCTGCTATCATTTAAAAACCTCAATTATATCATTTAAAAAATAGCACAGATAGTAAGCTTAATCCTATGACTTAAAAATTGGGCTGGAGCGATAGTACCGCGGGTAGGGCGTTTGCCTTGCACGAGGCCGACCCGGATTCGATTCCCAGTATCCCATATGGTCCCCTGAGCATTGCCAGGAGTAATTTCTGAGTGCATGAGCCAGGAGTAACCCCTGTGTATCGCCGGGTGTGACCCAAGAAGAAAAAAAAAATATTAGCACAGACAGCAAATGGTGAGTCACAGATACAAAAAGCGTTGGCTGCAAAGTATGATGTTTACCATTATGATGCATTGCAGTTGGAAACCTGAGTCTAACTTGCTCTATGAAGCAAAATATCTTCATTTTCAAATATACACTCGTATAATATATATCTCTGGCAAATGTGTGAGAAATTGGCTATTCTCATACAATGTTGGCAGGAATGTAAATTGGAAAAGCATGGTTAAAGGAAAATTTGACAGGATTGATGAAACGTGCTTGACCTTTAATTTAGTAAATGCACTATGTTTTAGGGAATTCTTATATACACGCAAAAAAAGAGTATGTGCAATCATTCATTGCAACATTGCTTAATAATAGACACAACATGAACACCAATAGGAAACAGTTAATGATTCAACTTTTCACAGGTTTAAAAAGCATGCAGGGGGTGGAGAGTAGCACAGTGGGTAAGCGCTTGCATTGCAGGTGGCCGACCCAGATTCTATCCCTGGCATCCCATATGGTGCCTTGAGCACTGCCAGGAGTCACTCCTGAGCTTTGCCAGGTGTGGCCTAAAAAGCCAAAACACAGGCTGGAGAGATAATACAGAGGATAGAGTGCTACCTCCCACGCAGCCAACTGGGGTTTTTATCTCCGGCCTCCCATATGGTCCCCGAGCACCGTCAGGAATGATCCCTGAGTGCAGGACCAGGAGTAACCCCTGAGCGTCACTGGATGTGGCCCCAAAACAAACAAAAAAAATTTTAAAGCCCAACCTGCCCCCCCAGTGCCATCTTTACAGCACACAACCACAGAGAAGAAAGGCCACTGGCCAGCTCCACAGCTCCTGGAGAATACACCAGGTCCCAAAAACAGCCGAGATCACCGGGAAGTCCCAGATGGGGTAGGTGCCGCATCCCGCCTCCTCCAGATGGAACCCCGGTGACCATGAGCCTCTACAAGCATAGCTCTAGTATGCGGGAAACAGGACTTTTACTCCAAACCGTGCGGCCGCATAAGCGGCCGCACAACATCTCCCTATATACAAAGTGATCAATGGAAAGTAAATCACCCAA